GGTCGAAACGTCGGCAACTCAGCCTTCGACGCGGCGTCACCCGGACAGCCCAGATCACCCATATGCCAAAGATAAGCTCTGTTCTTGACAATTTAATTGAAGTTAATAGTGTATCATTACTACTGTCTTTCCCAAAGGAAATTTTGGGTTGCGCAAATAACTTACAATTTACAATATTCATCACAGTAATTCCACTTATAGTATTTATCTTCCCAGAAAACAGATTAAGCAGAGAGAAAGCTTGATACATGAACCGAAATCGAACACACTGATTTATTGGACTCCCACTGAGTTACTGGCCATTTCGGTTGCACGTTCCTGCACGAGCTATTTAAGGGTACTTTAGGAAATGACCGAGGGCTATTATGTCATTGTGAAACTAGGTGAAAAGAAAGTGTAAAATGATTAAATTCAGCGTTTAATCCAATAAACACTTCATGTTCATACAATTTTCAGAGCGTTTTTCTTGTTGCTAAAAGCGAACAATTATTGCCGATGGACTCGAAATTCAACAAATCTTCAAAAATACATGTTTGATTAAGTGTTAAATCACATTAAAATAAGACGTTCAGAACGATTGAAATATATACATTATGTCTATAATGTGCACTACAAATCTTAAATATCTAGTATATACAATTTACATTTTACAGGAAACACTTTTTTCTTAAAAAAACTATTCAAAACTGCCTGGCATTCAATAAAACTGTGTTGCTACGTTATTTTTTCAACACTTTCATAAATAAATTTTCTATACAAAATGTCCTTAAATTAGTGGTTTCGCTTATAATTAGGTATATATTATCAGTCTGAATTTTTGTTTTGAAAACTACAATTTTCTTTCGTAATAATTTTAGATAGTTTACGGACAGTACGTAATTTCGTGAAGACATCTGCAGTTGGTGAATATTTCTAAAAATCTTTCGAAATGATTATTTTGTTATTTAACAAGTGGAATGTTAAAGCCGCTTACAACAAAAACAGAGATCATGTTACAAATTATCTTGTGTTGAGAATGAAAAGTAAGAAGACAATAGGTGCTGTATGACAAACATTATCCTATTAACTGCTAAGCGATAAGTGAAACTGGTGATAAAGTCCGGTTGAAAAATAAAATAAATATATTTGAAGATCAAACCCTAAATCATTTCATTGTTCTCAGGAATTTGAATCTTCTTTCAGGCAAAACGCAAGTTCCACAAGTGTGACCACTTTTGCTCATGACCCTCGCACCATGCACAGCAAAAAGTATCATTATCAAAGAGGGGCTACTTTGTTTCCCTCCTGCACAACGCACGGTGACTTGAATAAGGCCTTTCTTAAGAGAGCGCGCGCCCGCACCAGACTCCAGTCTCTCCGTCGTCTTGCTCTGCAAGGAGGGCAAATTCTACCATTATCGAGTTCGTGCACCAGCGCAGCGCAAAGCATACGACACCCGGCCTGTTGATGGTTTCCCAGAGGAGCCATACTAGTGAGGCGGGACCTCTGAGCTCGTCTATCAAGTTTTCCTTTGACATGTTTCTTATATGTATTATAAATATGTTCAATTGCGAGTAGCAAGAAGTATTTTCAACGTTAAAGTGTTTTCGTAATACTTTACTGTTACATCGACTTAACGCAACAAGAATAAAACCCATTCTTAACGGCCGGCGAACATTAAGTACTTAACAGTACTCCCGTTACAGTAACCCGTCCGTTAAAAGCAACCCAAACAAATTAACTGTAGCTCGTGATGACGAACACTTATTGACAATGGTACCTATTTCTAGTTTATATGATTTTCTATTATAAGAAGATGGTGTTACGAGACGTATTGAACAACACACAACCGATAATACAAATAAGAGACAGGGTTGTTTCTAAACCTCGACTAAATAATCTGTTTACAAGCTTCAACCGTGTCTCTTCGACCTTATAGCGCCTTTTGACGCTAATAAAAATTGCATTCATTCAGTCAATACACAAAAACTGATCGCTATCATCACAAGAACAGCACAGGCGTTGCCCGCGCCCCAGCTGTGCGGGAAGTACTTACGGTACTCGACGCCCAGCAGCGCGTCCCGGAAGTAGCTCCAGGCCCGGCGCTCGGGCAGCGGGCTGTCGGTGGGCACGCGCATCACCTCCCCGCGCTCCAGCAGCTCGAACACTGCGCACCAGAGAACGGCACACCGCCATGGCACGATTCATTTCGTAAATGTGCACTTGGCGTAAATCAGCTGGTGCGGTTTCATCCGATCGGGAGTTTATATACCGCTGCAGTCACTCGTTACTATGGGGACGTCACTATGAGGACGTAGTACTACACTCAATACGTCCCTATGGGGACGCTCAAGCTCCCGATTGGATAAAACCGTGAACAGCTGATTACGTCAAGTGCACGGTGAAATAAATCTCAGTACAGGCGACGAGGCGTTAACCAGGAGCACCACAAGGCGTCTCCCTCCTTCACTCACCTTCGTGTACACGGCACCATCGGGTGTTACCCAATAATACTTACCTCTAATAATGATTATTTAAACACTAAAATAATACATAGAAAAACATAATAAATAAAAAAGGGCCTGTGAAAGGAAGGAAAAAAATAACATTTCTTATTAAAATAGATTGGAGGAACATTAATTTCCCCAAGTAACAATTTTAAGAGTACGGTCGTGGGGACTGCACTTCAGAGTCCTTTTGTGACTTACTGTAGATCGAGGCCCAGAACGATAGACGAGGCTACTCATTCAGAAGTATCAAATTGTTCCAGGTTTTAACTGAATGTTTCGGTATCTTATTTTTCTTTGAGAACGGGAGAATATATTTATTCTTTCATTTCCCACAGTATCAATGCACGCAAACACATTCAACACATTAATTCTGTTAATTCTACTATATTATTTACAAACGCTTAATTGTTAATACATTTTCAATTGCGAACGTCATACAAGTTTCGAAACCTTTACTTTGGAAGAAAAGTGAAAAAAGATGCGTTCGATTTGTGATATCGCCCTTCATTGATGACAATCAAGGCAAACAAAATGTTTACATTAGTAGATAGAAGATTTCGAGATATTGGTAACGATGCAGATAGTATCGATTGTATACTGCATTGATTCCTGACATAGCTTTCCGAGCTCAAATTATTGTTTGCAGAATAATTTAGTAAAATCAATGACTTGCGTTTAGTTCAATATTTTGTTGAGTCATTAACGACTACATCTTTGATTAAGTTTTATTATTTATTTCAAGTTGATAATAATGTGTAATGTGCACACGTGTATGATAGTCTATTAGTTTGTATATTTGTTTGGGAATTCATATTCTTTTAGTGTATTAGTGAACATTGCAAAGCGACAATATGCTTTATAAAAATAATCTTGATAATGAAACTATTATTCCAAATAAGCGACGAACTTCCTACACATTCAGTTTCTAAATGTACTCTAAAACATAGTTTGGAATCGGGAACGGCTATTTGGAAAAGTAAAATGCTTTAAATATGTTCCAATATTGGAATAATGTAAAGCAAATAATTTTCAAGGAGGAGAGGAGCAGATCATTTATATCACGAACTCTGCATAGTAGCATCTTGAAAAGAATGCTTCCAATCAGTTTAATACATGGAAGTGAGCTACTCTTTATTAGTTTACTTCCCTTTCCTGTTAGTACAATTACTGTTGTGAGGCCATCATACATGTGCGGCAATTAGAGTGATTTGAAATGTTGGCCTTCATAACAAAGCTCATTATGCAGCGTCATTTAGGTTAATAAGAATGCATTACAGCTCCACGCAACCAATGATTAGGAAATGAACCTGCAATCCATAGCGATTTCCCACATACCAGGTACATGCGCACACATACTGGCAACGAAATAAACAACATTTAAATAAGCTTAATTAATGACGTGTAAGAAACACGCAGCAGAGGAATTTAACAAAAAACTAACAAAAACACAGCACTATTTATAACTTAACATCATTAGGATCATTTTTAAAAATATTTGATGTTTCCACCTAAAGAAATAAATACAGATAATAATAATAATAATAATAATAATAATAATAAGAATGAAAGGAGAATAAATATAAGAATAAGATGCAGATATATAATATGAAATAGATAGAAATATATAAGATATATAACTTAAAGCACTAAATAAAGAAACATTCTCCTTAATAATAGCGTACATTTTCGAATCTAAAAAGCATTCCAAAATGTAATTTTATAAAAGACAAAAAATGCGAATTTACAGCACACGTTAAAATTAAAGATAAAGGAATTGCCACGAGAAACGAGTAGATGACGAACGTATTTTTCGGTATCATAACAAATTTTTAAATTTTGTCTTTTCTTTTGTTAACGAATGAAAGTTTCTACCAAGAATGCGTTTCTAAAAGTAGTGCGAAAGTATAGTAAGTAGAGCACGTTCGTGGTGGGATAGAGGGCGCGTTTACTCACCCAGGTAGAGGTGGTCCTCCGAGGGGTCGTCGAGCACCTCGACGAGGCGCACGATGTTGGGGTGGCGCAGCTTCTTAAGCAGCGCGATCTCGCGGTAGACGCGCTCCAGCGGCGACGGCTGCCCGCCCGACGCGGTGCCGCCCGACCCGCCGCGGCTCGGCGCCTGCCGCCCTGCGCAGCCCAGGCGAACACACGCACAGTCACTCCTCCGACAGTGGCAGTCGAAAGTGGTCTCCTTTCAATCTACCAGTTGCAGTCGTGTGTGATGTCGTCTCAACCTGCCAGTTCCAGTCATGTTTAATTTCGTCTCAACCTGTCAGTTCCAGTCATGTTGAATTTCGTCTCAACCTATCAGTTCCAGTCATGTTGAATTTCGTCTCAACCTACCAGTTCCAGACATATCACATTTCATCGCAACCTACCAGTCCCAGATATATCAGATTTCATCAGAACCTACCAGTTCCGGAAATATCATATTTCATCACAACCTGTCAGCTCCAGTCATGTCTGATTTCATTTCAACCCGTCAGTTACAGCAATGTCTGATTTCATATCAACCTATCAGTTACAGTCACGCCTGATTTCATCTCCACTTATCAGTTCTAGTCATGTCTGATCTCATCTCAACCCTTATCCGTCAGTTACAGTCATGGCTGATTTCATATGAACCTACCAGTGCAGGTCATCGCTGATTTCGTCTCAACCTCCAGTTCTAGTCTTGCTTGATTCATCGCAACCTACCGATGAGGCCTGTCAGATCTTATCTCCATCCGCCAGTTCTGCAGTCATGTTTGACCTCATCTCATTTCGTCCAAACGAATCCTGCCCAATCTTATCGCATTTCTTTCAGTCAAATCTCATCATCTGGTCCTGTCTTGTCACATCTGATACCATCTCACCCCCCTTAGCTCAGATCCCCCCCACATGTCGTCCTGATGCTGTACATTTCACGCCTTCCTACCTCGTTTAATCATACTCACATTCTTCTATTCCCTCTCACGTTGCTCATACAGTTGTTGCCTTTGACTTCGAATATAATTTTCTCAATTGATATCGTATCACGGGCGCACTTTGTTTTGAGAAGGGGAAAAAGTGACAATAACATTTTTTCTTAAAAATACGATTCCTTGCGGAGTTCGTTCTTTTGGCAGTGATTTCTTACGAAAAAAGATCAAAGAAATATTAAATTCTACACGTGTGACCTCGTTGGCGCATGGCCAGTTCACATTGCATCATACCACCCGCTCCACATTTGGACCTTTCGGATAAATTGGGGAATTTTCATTAGACAATTAATACATTTAACTCCGCTTAGCTAGCATTCTGAATATTGAAATACTTCTCCAAAATCGCAAACCCGACCAATTCCAACGCGTTTGAACTTTTTTCATTTATTTGGATTTAAAAACAACAACTCGAAGCACAATAACAATAGCACTTGCAGACAATTATGTAAGTAAAGGATTCTCTAAATATTTGCCAGAAAAAGCATCCAAGAACTTCTTAGTTGACTATCAGAAAATTAAGGAATCTTGCAAGTACGTATTATTCGACTTACAAATAAAATTTATTAAGGTTAATGCACCCTTTTGATTTTCAAATAATGTACTTGAATGTCCTAATTCAGATTTTTAATGCTTCCCTCAGGGACGAGTCAATTCACATTCAGAATTCTCGACTTAATTGATACACCGCGGTCCTTTTGAAAGTGACTCACAAGCATTATGTAAATGTAAATTGGGTGTTGAGAGGAAAACAAACATTTAAATTAATTTAAACTTGGAATCTCACTGGTTAAAGCGAAAGAATCAGAAAGTGTGTACAAACGTGTCGAGCGAGGTTACAAGGAACGCGGAAGAATGTCCATTGTTGGTATTGTCATACTTGCCATTCACAGAGTTCCGTCGCACAAATTATTCTTTTACGATTATTTGATTCTCCAGAACCATGGATTTAGAATATGTATGGAATTATTGTGAAATTGCATTTAGTACGTTTGGGTTACATATACTTCTAGCTGAAGTAATACGGCGTAGCTTGGGTATTTATTGATCACAAATATCTACTAGACAGGAAAAAATGAATTTTGTCTTTAGTGTAAAGTGGAAGTAATTTTTACATTGCAGCCATCCCCGCCACCCGATCCTCTTTAGAACTCTGCTCCGTCTCACTCCCTCTCGCCCAGCCTGTCACCCCGCCTGGCCCCGCCCCACCCCTCTAGGTCGCAGTCACTGGCTTACTTAGTCAGGTACGGTCCCCTCCCAGTCTCCCGTCCAAACCTTATGCATTGCGGATTGCATTAAACAAAAAAAGTACAATACTACATTTATGTCACCTCAGAGAATAGATTTTGAAAAAAAAGTGGCTACATACATCGTAATAAGAACATACGTTTCAACTTTCACCTTTCGAGCTGATGTGGTTTTGGTCAGTCGGTCGGCCAATAAGAGAGTCTTCCGCGATCACATCGTATTCATGACGCTCCTCACCCGAAGTTAATAAAAATCGCATAGACTTTGGAGTTTAGTCACATCTTGAAATAGACTTTCGAAGAATTACTTCTACACACAAAGTTTACAGCTTTTTAAACGTTTCCTTTGTACTTTACTTTGTACTGTTTTTTTAAAGTCACCATATTACCGATCAAATGCTGGCAAGACAAAACCCGAGATCGCTCTTCTCGTCACATATCCGAAGTTCTCTATTTCGTTTGTTTTATAAAAAAATACTAAATACTAAAAAAATATTCTACCATCATTCACGAAGTACTTTTTATTAATAAATGCATGTACGTTATTCGGAACTAAAAACCACCGACCACTCCGCTCGACTTAAAAAAAGAATAAGTTCGCAACTACCGATCAGTCTCTTATTCAGCGACAGCTGTCACTAAACACGAAACTGAATATGAGAGAATCGTTGAAAACCGAAGTCCGTGTATAAGTCTATTTTTATAATTCGAGGAAACGTCTGATGCGCGTGCAAGGTTTGGAAAAAGCTGAAAGGTTTCTAGGCACTGAATTACGTTGTTGGAAATGTTTATACGTTTTCTCACTGTGAATAAAAAGAGCAGTATACATATTTAATTTTTGAAAGCTTTATCACTTTTAAATTCCTTGTACAGGAGCATATTATTTATCTTAATTTTCAGTTAGAATTACGATCTGCTTGATTCAGAGGAAATTACGTCGCCTTACACTTACCAAAAACACCAGCTTTTTTGAGCAGTCGCCGTTTTGACAGGATTTTCATAGCCTGAAAAGAGAAGAAGGTAAATTTTAGTAAACAAAAATGATGACATTACACAGTTAATTGTCGAACTACATAAAACGTACCTAATCATCATACTTGCATAAAAATCAATGTACAGTATAATTTTATACATTGGATAAGCAGTTTCCCAAAAGTATAATGTAAATATAACATAAAAGGATAAATACACTTTGCGCTCTAAGTATAATTTTTATTTGACGTCAAAACAGTAAAAACTGAAAGTAACATTTGGAAAGAATGAAAAGCTTAATTTCGTATTTCGATGACAAGAACAATTTAGCTATTTTTATATCTACTAGTAGTATAACCCAAATGTCACCTCTCTTCCATTAAGCAAATATGTTTTTCAGCGAGGGGCAGTTGCTAGGAAATGAAGTTCGCTTTAACATGACATTTTTTCTCAATTATCCGATAGATTTTTGTCTCCTACGTTCATGGAAAGAGGACTACCGGGGATTGGTCTTCTCTTGAGTATTTGATGACGCTTGCTGGAATATTATTAATTTATCAGTCCCAGAAACACTCGTTTTATGATTTCCACTCTTCGCAATACTCACTTCAAGAAATCCAAACCAAGAATTGATTAGTAATTTCGGGTGTGTCAACGGTAAGGTTCGTTAGTCCTGTACGTGTAGTGCAGGTTTTTTCCTCGGAAAGTGGCGATGAACCTACCCGCTGGATGGGGAGATTAGAACGTCCCTTGGCTAGTGCGCTTTTTCCCAAACATGCATCTCCCACCAGCGGGGCACCGCCCCAACCGGGACAAGCTCTTAGCTCCTGACTGGTCTCCCGGAATGTGTAGTAGTGTAGTGCATGCAGGTGTAAGTGTGTGTAAGTAAGAAGTGAAGATAGGTGAATGATGACGAAGGAAAGATCGCGTGCGGCCCCTGGTCCGTTGATTAGGGTATTGCAACGGCATTCACCTAGTGTTAATTGGAGAAACTACGGAAAACTACCGATCGGAGCAGCCGGACGCTAGAATTCTACTCCAGACAGCTGTCCTGAACTAGGCCTAGCTATCTAGCTAGAGTCAAAATACTGCCACCGTCGGGATTCGAACCCTCGGACCGCCCGGTCAGAACCACTACAGTAATATCAGTGGATGTCCAAAGCAAGAAAATTTGGCAAGAAACGTTTCCAGATAGTATTTTTGCATTCGTGCAGACAGTGTGGCGTGAGATGTACTTCGTTTCACTCATCAATTCTCCGAATCGTCCACTCCTGAACTTTTCAAGGTTTCCCTTTGAAGAAGTCTGCCAATTCGAAACCCAGTCTCCGAACAGACCCTCGCGCTTTGGAACAGGACGACAAGAGTCAAACATTTCTCAGTTAAAATAAATACACAAGTTAAATCCATTCGACGAAGAAAGATTCAGGTCAATGTGCCTTTCCTGCCAAAATCACAATTTGAAAAACCACCACATAAAATATGAATTTTAAGAGAGTAGCCGAACGTTTCCGCAAGACGCAAGATTAAATCGAATTCCACAGATTCTGACTTTCTAAATACTGAAATATTTATAGCAATACTTTTGTCTGTAAATAAGTACATATGCCGACAAAAGCACTTCTACTGGACTAGAAAAACGCTATGTGAAGAAATTCAACATTTTAATTTATGTTTTTTGTAACATTCATCTCCCAGAATATCATTTGTCCGTTTATTGCACTTGCACTGAATTACGATGAATATAAATACTAGCATTATTGGGACATGTCTATATATACATACACACACATATATAACACTAAACATACTTCCGTCTTAACGCTCAAAAGGCTTCCAATTCAACTTTTAACGATTATCCGTAAAGTATGTTTTTCAAATTCGCTGACTTGTTAACAAAAAGTCAAAAAACGCCAGTAATTCAACCGGTATACTACATAGGTTGGTAGGTTGAAACTGCACCCATATTTTGCATCCTGAAAGCCTGAAATATACGGGAAGTGTCTCTTGAGCGTGAATATATATGGTACATTTAGATAAATATTCACGAGGTCTGTAATTGAGGAATTAATATGAATTTGAAATAGCTCAGTTCTTGATTTAAACAATAGAACTTGTAATGAACCCAGATTGTATGTTGCATTTCTAGTTGCACTACATTGAAAAGTCTAAAAAATGTACTGCTTCGAGAGAAGTAGGAGAGTGGAGCTGGTTTGGTAACTTGTCCGGAACTTAAAATTATTAGAGTCCATTCGAAACAGGATAGTTAGATAATTACATGAATGTTGTCTTAACCGCAAACCGACCTGCTTATAGAATCTGTGCAACGCTTACACGAGAGCTCCTACAGTAATTTCATAACAGTTCCAAGAACTGCTGCGTTAGCTGCAAGCTATTTACATCGAACCTCGGCCATTTGTTTGTCCGCTCTATAGCAACAATATATTCTAATTTAAATTTGTATTGAAACTGATTAGAGCAGATTCAATTTAACACTGGGAATATACATTCGTCAGGAAGGTCGCGAGTAATGAAATTCCTTCACTAAACAGATGCAAACAAGAATTTGTCTCAATATTATTGGCCGTGAAATGCGAAATTCGACATTAAAAATGAAGTGTACGGCATTCGTCTAACTGGATTAGTTTTTGTAATAAATTCTTCAAGCAAGTCATATGATTAAGATCCTGAGATTTCAGTTAGCCCAAATATCTCGGGAGAAATTTACCCATATAACAATTAACTTATTGGACAATACTACTTTCTTTACTTTCGTCGACCAATAAATGAAAAATATTTTTCGATATGATTCATCTCTACCAAATGAGCATGATCCACGTAATTAATCGTGTGGACTATCTAGCACTCTTAATTATCGCCTGCATATTTGTGCCAATAAAGTATATTAATGTTACTTTTTCTGGAGATTACAAAGAGATTTGCTGTTAAAATAAATAAACAAATATCAGTAGAACTGTGGTTTCGGAGAAAACAACCAGCATGTATAATAGAAAATATACACGTTGCGTGAAGAAATCAGTTATCGAGGTCTGCGTGTACTTCGTCCTTTGTTCCGACCACCAAGTCAACAGTAATCGATACTCACTCAGCTCGGAGGAAAACTTCATCGACCACAGACATACGCAAGCGCTGGCTAGATGTGTTTCTACAAGCGACAAAGCAAATAATGATGATATTTCTTCTTTAAAAGGAAACTTGGTTCTTATTATCTTGGCGGAACAAGCCAACATTCGAAAGAGTAAAGTATTATAATTTGTGATGTAATGAAAGTATTATTCACAGGTTCAACGAATAAGATAATATGTACTTATACGTAAGAAGATCATAACAGCATAGTCACCACAGAGATTCATTGTCGTTTATTTCATATTGTCAATGCTTATGCTAAACATTGTGTGTGTGTGTGTGTGTGCGTGCGTGCGTGTGTGTGTATGCGTGCGCGTGTGTGTATGCGTGCGCGTGTGCGTTCGTGCGCACTCTGTATGCCGGGACAGTTGTTGACCCCCTTCGTTGCAATTATGTTGAAATCATGCGGCTACCAAAATCAACACGATTGAAACAACTTAATTAAATATCACACTAAAACATTCACAAAATTCCACTGGTAAGATTTCCAGCATTACTGACGAGCAATATAGTATTTCGAAAGTTCCACGTATTTAGTGAGTATACGAACCTTGAACTTTCGACGGAAATAAGCGGTAGTGGGACGACACACCATCGCATCTCTTGCTTGCACAGTTACGTTACGGGAGAGCGGCGGAACGGTAAGTTTTGAACCAGATGATAAAATAGTAGTTTGAGATAGAGAGTATTCTTTAACAACAAGTTTTAATGAAATGAAACGTAGGAGCAATTGCGCAATTATTTTAAATCCCCATCCACGATCAAGGCCGATGTCTCAAATCGCGTGTATTCACAATGCCAATGTACATGTATATCCATATACAGCAACAATAATTTATTTTTATACACTTTTCTTCTTCTAGCTTACTGGTATGAGACAGAATTGAAAGTTCAACTGATCACTCCATTTCTTTGAGACCCTTCTCGTCTCGTATTCTAATTGGCTTGACGAGAAGAAATGCGCTTGGCCGGCATTCTTTCTGCTTGTCGAGTCTAATTACTTGTTTTGAGATATTGTGTCAGAAATTAGATTCTTCTCGGGCTTCACAAATAAAATTAAAGTATACATATACTACTTAAAGTTTTTAACAGGAGCGATATATATTGTTTCTTAATTGAACAATATTCTTGTTGAAATGATTGTGTTCAAACAGAAGTGGTGGTTTAAAGGCAAGTGAGCTGTATTGATTGGTCAGTTTTGCCATTTCTTCAGAACCTGTATTTCCTTTCGGAAAATGAATATTTGTGGAAAAAACCGAATGGTATTATTTTTCAATTTCCGGAATTTTTGATGAAGGACGTGATGCTCAGAGGGAAACCAGTCAAAGAGAATTACTGATGGCAACTTCCATTAAAAACGTGTGTAGTCTCCGATTGCTGTAAAAAGGCTGTGCTTTGTTTCCGAAAACCGAAAAACCTTTTTCCTGCAATTCAAAGCGTTGTTTTCGCACAAAGTGCACGCTACATTCCATTCATTACACGATAGTTGTAAATAACTTAGATAATGACCTCGCTAATTATCCGCAAGCTACATTCATTTCGAGATATCATACATTTTCGGGATATTGGAAAATGAGGCATTCCATTAACATCGTATTGTTATGTTACGTGTTTTCCTACACGCAATGTCGGATGCATTTGCTCTGAATATAGTAGAGAAAATAAGACGGGATAGATACTACAGAGGGCAGACAATGAGAAAAAAAATTAATTTTACTAAACCAAAAGTATGTCAGATATTGGCTGATCATTTGTTCTTTTGTCATAAGCATTACGAATCTGATGCAAACACCATCGAAAGAAAAGATCTCGTTCTGGTTTCCACTGTGGTAACTCCAGAAACTTTTTATAACTCTCCTACAGTGTCTCCCAGAGCACTATTTCTCTT